GCACTGGGATTACAGGCTGAGCCACCGAGCCCGGCTGCAATTACTTATTTACTAAGACTGAGGAAAGCTACCATAGAGTCATTCAGAACTGAACAGAGGCCAGTGAAATTCATCTGCAGTGTCAAAGAACATTGTGAAATGCTTATTTGAAGTCGGTAGAATAAATTCAAGAGGGGAAAAATATTTTCTCTAAACTTTACATAGATATAAATATAGCAAAAGTTTTCATAAGTGTTTAAATTTGAATTGGAATGTTGGCAAAAGTTGGATCTATAAAAGGCAGGGAAGTTGAAAACTCATTAGCAAGAGCAAATCGCCTTTAAACTTTCTATTACAGAATAACTGACTGTGACCCCTACATTAACACATTCTGACCCTTTTTGAAGCTTTATTACCTTACTCCCAGCACTCCTCCCCTGCACGGAGCCTTGCCCCTGATCCTCACACTGAGGATGTCAGTGACTTTGTAACCTAAGGAGTTGCTCTTTCTGGGAGGTTAGCTTAACTAGGCACAGCGCACTAAAGTGAAAGTAGAAAGCTGTAAGCAAGGCATGCCGTGGGGGAATGAAAGCCTGAGATTCAGGGTTGCCCTTGTTTCCCTGTCCTGCTGACCATATCGGTAGTCCTTAGCCTGCTCTTAAAATTAGGTATGAGGTGATAACCAAATAGATATGCACATCTGGTTACCCTCTTCACTTAGAATAAATCTAGAAGGTTTCTTCCTCAAATAAAGCTTTGTTCTAGTTGTTGAAAGGATACAGCACCAGAAATCTTTAGGGCATAGTAAGCATAAATGTTCTGGCATTTATAAATCCCCTCTCCTTTGGCCTCTTCTGCATCTGTCACTTCAGATACACTGTCCGGAGTAATAGCTGTAGGATTCCTAGAAGAGCAGATGAAAAGCAGTGAATTCCCACCTGAGATACTGAGGAGCCAGGCCTGTGTCCTGCCCTTACAAGAAGTGTATATTAACCATCCTTGACTTTTTTTTTAGTTGGAGTCTCACTCTGTCACTCAGACTGGAGGGCAGTGGCATGCTCCTGGCCACCGCAGCCTCGACCTGCTGGGCTCTGGCAGTCCTTCTCCCTCAGCCTTCCAAGTAGCCTGAACTACAGGCGTGCACTACCACACCCGGTTAATTTTTTTGATTTATTGTAGAGACAAGGTCTCACCAAGTTGCCCAGGTGGGTCTCGAACCCACGGGCTCAGGCAATCCTCTCATGTCGCCTCCCAAAGTGCTGGGATTACAGGCTGAGCCACCAAGCCCAGCCCATCCTTGGCCTTTATACTCTACTGTAACCAGTTACTCATCCTGCTCCTCAGTAAGTTGGATAACTGCCTCGTGGTTACCCAGTGATTCCTAGAACCCAATCTAGAACTCAGTGCAGAATCTCTTGGGCCCATGGCCTGTGTGGCTACAGCATCTCTCTCCTCATGTCCTGTTTTCCTTCTGGAAAATTCCCTTTAATCACCCCATTCACTCTCTACTGCTTGTATCCATTACTGATTTTTATAGTCTGTGGTTGCAAGACTTGGTAGTTATAAAATGCTAGTACAATGAAGCCTGTGCATTTAAGTTCCGTTTGAGTTGAGTAGCTTTGCTCATATATCCTAACAGTAAATAGGACCTCAAGTTCTGAGTAGCTACTCTGACCAGAAAGAGTGAAGGTGTGGATGACAATATGGAAATCCATCCTCTATAATGGAGAAACATGGGATGGACACACTACATGGTGTCATTATGTAAAAACAGACGTAGTTAAATGCTTAGGAAGAGAAGTCACTTTAACAGCTTTTCACTAAAAGATAGTGTAAATGCTTAAGACTAACCTAGCCCTCCCTTTTTCACTTATAGAAGAAGGGAAGATAGTTGATAACCCATAAGGCAGAAGGTTTGTTCTGAAATGTAGCTTGCTGGTGGAAATGAATTTACCTAGAGTTTTTCAGACTGGGCTTGCCTAGTTCCTCTAATAGCAGTGGATGTGATCTTTACAATCGGGGCAGCTGGTGGCTGGGAAACAGAGGGAAAGAAATCACTGCCTTCTGGGAGCATGGTGTTTACTGGCTCCTAAGTTCCTTGAGGATAGTATTAAGTCAATGAAATACTCATTTCAGTGTCCTGGAAGTGTGCTTAGCAGAGGAAAAAACTTGATAACTTTTCTTCTGAATATGGCACTCTAGGCACATGTTTCACTTGGACCAATAATGTCCTGTATTTTACTACATGTGGTGTAACTCAAAGGTACCAGTCATTCTACCTCTACATAGCGTGATAAGCCTTGGAAATATCTGTCCTAATGAGACAGGGACTGGTCATTTAGGAAGACAAAGTAGATAACAACCGAGCGCAGTGGCTCATGCCTGTAATCTCAGCACTTTGGGAGGCCGAGGTGAGAGAATTGCCTAAGTCCAGGGATTGGAGACCAGTCTGGGCAACTTGGCAAGACTTCACCTCTACAATAAATCAAAAAATTAGCTGGGTGTGGTGGCGCATGCCTGTAGTTCCTAATGTAGCCTGTAGCTATATAAAAGGCTGAGGCAGAGGGATCACCTGAGCCCAGCAGGCAGGTCAAGGCTGCAGTGGCTGTAATTGTGCCATTGCACTCCAGCCTGGGCTACAGCATGAGACTCCAACTCAAAATAAAAAAAAAAAAAAGAAACCATCACTAAGACTTACCTATGGGAATTAACTACCTTTGTTGAGTGTCTACTATGTGCCAGGCACTATTCTCATCTCATTTAATTTTACAACATTAAAATTGAGTAGAGTAGGCATTGTTTTCTTCACTTATGTATGAGGGGAACCTGTGAGGCTCAAAGAAATTAAATTGCTCAGTCATAGCTAGTGAGTTAAATTCGGTGATTTCCGAATTTAAACTCAGGTGTATGCAACTGCAAAGTCCACATGCTGCCTAAACAGTACCTGGCACATAGTAGATGTTTAGTAAATTTGTAATGAATGAATGAATTTTTCCTTCCCCCATCTTCATCAGCCTATCCTGGCCGCTCTGGTCCCTCTTCTGACTTGCCTGACTTTTCAGTGACATTGACCTGCATTTAATGGCTTCTGAAGAGACCACTGTTAAAATGTAGTTCACCTTACCTGAAGGGAAGAGTTTGGCCCTATCTAGACACCGTAGCACAAATCACTTATTTATCATCCAAACCAGTGCAAAGGCCCTGGGATCAGGAAAAATTGGACTGGGAAGAAGAGGAGTGGGAGGTGAATTCTGCAAAGAAGTGAGGTAAGGGGAAAGGCCAGAAGAAAGGTCTGAAGACAGAACTACTCTTGGAAATTTTTGACAACAGGCACCATCTTCTCCTGGGATGTCCAGTATTTGCAGAGTTAACAGAAATAAAGCACACGACCCGGGACCCCGCCTGCTTTAGGACTTGAAGGCCGGCCGTCCCAGACGGGGG